CCTCCCCGCCCTTCTGCCTCTCCCGTAGAGGAACTGCCGCAGCTCCGAAAACCCCAATGAAGTGTTTCGCTTCCTGGTGGAGGAGAAGCTCAAGTGCCTGGCCACAGAGAAGGTGAAGTACACCCAGCGAGTTGACTACATCATGCAGCTGCCCGTGCCCATGGACGCAGCCCTGAACAAAGGTAGGCCTTGTGCACGTGGAGGCCTCAGTCGGTGAGCTGTGTCAGGTACACAGGTACTGCTAGGAGCAGGGCTGTGTTGAGACGGAACAGCCGTGTGTCTATAGACTTCGGGAAGGTAGAGAAACGGAGCAGTCATGGCCATGCAGCCAGGAGGGCAAGGCTTGGTCAGGAAGAGTCAGCACCCACTGTGAACACGCTGCCCAATTGTCTCACCAGAGGAGCTTCTGGAGTATGAGGAGAAGAAGCGGCAAGCTGAAGAGGAGAAGGTGCCACTGCCAGAGCTGGTTCGGGCCCAGGTGCCCTTCAGCTCCTGCCTGGAGGCCTATGGGGCCCCTGAACAGGTGGATGACTTCTGGAGCACAGCCCTGCAGGCCAAGTCGGTAGCTGTCAAGTAAGTCCTGGCTTGGCATAGGCTGCTGCTGCAGCCAGGCGACCCTCAGACACAGCTGCTGCTCTGCTCTTGGTCCTTTCGTCCATTTTGCTTGGGATCTCAGGGTTGAATCTTCCGGGGCTGGTAATCTGTCCCTGAGGGAACCAGGAGGCCTTAGCAGCGGTGGACACGGTAATGATTTTGTCTTGTCACCTTGTCCTGCCCCACCACTTGCCCTTCTCAAAGTTCAGGGTTTCTTCCCTTCTTGGTGGCAGACCATAGGCACTTACTGTCAGCTAGGGACTGTCATGGATACAGCACCAGGAGGAGGGAGGCTCCACGGGAGTGTGCTTGCAGCACATCAGTCTGGCCATCGGTCCCCAACAGGCTTGGGGTGCTTTGGTCTCCAGGCTGCCACCCCTGCCCGTTGCGTGAGGTCAAGCCCAGGGTGAGGGTTTCAAGAGAGGAGAACCTGCCATCCTTGGGTACTAGCACCTTCTTTCTTCCCTAGGACCACACGGTTTGCCTCATTCCCCGACTACCTGGTCATCCAGATCAAGAAGTTCACCTTCGGCTTAGACTGGGTGCCTAAGAAGCTGGGTATGGTCCAGGCTGAGGGCGGTGCAGCAGGCCACGCTAGGGAAGGAGAGGGCCTTAGCACATGGGAATCGGTCTCAGACACCTCAGGAGAGGAGAGAATTAACATTAAGTGTTCCAAAATGCAACTGGATTGAAAAGCCTGAAAACTATTGAGTCCTTGATTTTTGTTTGGGGCTTTGGGGGGTTTTTTTGCTTTGCTTTTTCATATGGGTTCTTGCTCTATCGCACAGAGTGGCCTCAGACTTGCAGTTCACCTGTCGTGGCTCAGATGTGGGTGTGTCACCACGCTTGCCTCGGTTGCTTTCATCTTATAGTTAAGGTTTACACCTGAAAATGCTTTTTTGTGGTTTGTTTTATTTGATAATCATTTGATATCATTTGATAATCTTCAAAGAGTGCTTCTGAGTCTTACCAGTTCAGGGCTGTAAGTTGAGAGCTGCTGATTTACCTTCACTTTCTAGATAAGGAAGTTGAGACCCACAGGAGCATTAGCTCTTTTGACTTGCCAGTTGGAGGTCGCTGCTTGTCAGCAGCTCTTAGACCTCCTGACTCCTGGATCCCCGAAGTTGGTTCTCACTCACTAACTCCTTTGTGCTGAGCAGGTCTAGGCCATGGGGCAAGGGTTTGAGCCACAGAGTGTTTACCGGTGGGCCTCGGGCTGCCAAGGTGACCCTTCTGCCCTTCTGACGGCAGATGTGTCCATTGAGATGCCTGAGGAGCTGGACATCTCCCAATTGAGGGGTACAGGGCTGCAGCCAGGAGAGGAGGAGCTGCCTGACATTGCCCCACCCCTGGTCACTCCGGATGAACCCAAAGGTAGCCTTGGTTTCTATGGCAACGAAGACGAAGACTCCTTCTGCTCCCCTCACTTCTCCTCTCCGACATGTTAGTGTCTCTTCTTCCTGCCTGTGTCTCTCCTTTGCTGACGGGGGGCTTCTCTGCCTTACTTCCCCAGGCCCTGTCCTTTGTGTTTCTGCTGTCCTCCCTTTCACATTTCCTCTGCCCTCTTTGGATGGCTGTGGGGGCCAACCGGAACACTCCCAGCCATCCTTGCCATGTGTGGACTGTGGGGACATGGCCTGATCGCCCCTCTCCACCCATGTTACTGCCTTGGTTTGCAGGGGGCGGGGCCATCGTGTGTAGAAATAGGGCTGTTCTGTGAGAATGGCAGAAAATGATCGTCTTTGGGCTGCTGTGTTCACCTTACATTGTGTGTTCCTTTGGAAGAAAAGTGCATGGAATGGGTGACTGGGAGAGGGCTGGGGCCAGGCATGTGGGAGGGAAGAAAAGTGAACAGAAATCTCAGCCCCAACAGTCAGGTCATAGCACCCTGACTCCCTTTCACAGCACCCATGTTGGATGAGTCGGTCGTCATACAGCTGGTGGAAATGGGCTTCCCCATGGACGCCTGCCGCAAGGCTGTCTACTACACAGGCAACAGCGGGGCTGAGGCCGCCATGAACTGGGTCATGTCACACATGGATGATCCAGGTAGGCAGGAGAAGGTGGCAGGATGGGTCAGGGCCTCCGTCTGCCCCCACACGCTCCAATCCTTCATGTTCACAGATTTCGCAAACCCCCTCGTCCTGCCCGGCTCCAGTGGGCCTGGCTCCACGAGTGCAGCTGCTGACCCCCCACCAGAGGACTGTGTGGCCACCATCGTGTCCATGGGTTTCTCCAGGGACCAGGCCCTGAAAGCTCTGCGGGCCACGGTATAGGCGGCCCTGGCCAAGGGTTGGAGCCCCATGGGGAGGAGGGGGTGGGACTGAGGACCCTACCCGGGTGAGTAGGGTCAAGGACTGGGGCTGGGGCCCCCTCTGTGGCCACAGCAGAGGCGCTGAGGCTGGCCAGAACAAGTAACGCTTCGCTCCTCTTCAAGAACAATAGTTTGGAACGGGCCGTGGACTGGATCTTCAGTCACATTGACGATCTGGATGCGGAAGCAGCCATGGATATCTCCGAGGGCCGCTCAGCTGCTGACTCCATCTCCGAGTCTGTGCCAGTGGGGCCTAAAGTCCGGGATGGCCCTGGAAGTGAGTGTCCGGGAGACCAGACACACCTGGTGCCACTTAACCGCTCTGCTGCTCTGGGCCTCATTCCAAGCAGCTCTGCCATCCCCCTTTGCCTGGACAGGATTTGTGAGGGTGGGGTTCCAGCAGGCTGAGGTGGCCTTTAGCCCAGACTTGCCCCCGCGTCCCTTGAGGCCCCTGTTTGATTCAGAGCTGTTCACACATCTTGGGATGCCACTCTAAGCTCTCTCCTGTCTGTCCCTCTGCCTTCTGTCTCCTTCCCCAGAGTATCAGCTCTTTGCCTTCATTAGCCACATGGGCACCTCCACCATGTGTGGTCACTATGTCTGCCACATCAAGAAGGAAGGCAGGTGAGGGCCAGCCGTGTGCACTGCAAGGGAGACGTGGGAGTGAGGAGGGTGACCTGGAAGTCCCCGGGGATCTTCAGGACTGCCTGGGGGCTGCAGCAGGGATAGGCCGACCATAGCCCTGGGGCTGAATATGGCCTTGTCCAGTGGACTTTGGCTAGACAGCACTGCTTGTTTACATACTGCCCGTGCGGGTTTGCATGGGCACAGGAAAGCCAAGGAGCTGTGTCTGACCAGAAGGCCTGCAGAAGCGAGAATACTGGCTGGCCGGGAAGTCTGCTGTGGCCCTGCCTCAGGACTGGGTCGAGGGGTGGCTGGGGGTCTCAAAGCACCAGTCGGAGGGCGCCCTCCAGTTGTAGCAGGCGATTCCCGGGGGAATCCAGGCAGGTTTTGGGCCTCGGTGGTGGCTGAGAGGAAGCTGGTTCTGCTGGCAGTGCTGTGTGTTCATCCTTTTCTGCCCTTTCCTCCTCCCCAGGTGGGTGATCTACAATGACCAGAAAGTGTGTGCCTCGGAGAAGCCGCCCAAGGACCTGGGCTACATCTACTTCTACCAGCGAGTGGCCAGCTAAGACCCTGCCCACCTTTCCACGGAGGGCAAGGGACGGACCACCGGGCACAGGGGCGGGGGCTGAGGACGCCTGTACCCTTGCTCCGCACCTTTTCCTTTTGTCCCCGGCAGTAGGGAAGGAGCTGGAGGCCAAAGGGAAGTGGCCAGGCAAAGCAGAGGGGCATGGGAACCTATGGGGTGGGCAGGCTGAGGACCGTCCGTCCGTGGAGAGACGCTGCTTCTGTGGCCCTGTGGCTCCTGGCGCAAGGGCGTCTGACTTGCGTGCCGTGGACGTAGCTTCCTGCGTCCCCCCACCCCGTTCACCCCGTGCGGTTGGGTTAGGAGGGATACGAGGGACCTGGGGGCCCCCTTCCCCTCTTGCCTCAGTCTTTCACCACCCTGTCTCTTCCTTGTCCTCTGGAAAATGCCAAATTACACGATGTGAATAAAAGTAAAATGGGAAACGCGTTCGCTCTTGGCGAGGCCTCCCTTCCGGGGATAGAGGAAGCGCCCAGCTCTGCCCTTTCCCCGTGGGGTGTGAGGCGGGCAGTGGGATAGTGGCGCCCCGCCTGCCCGTTTCTCGGAGCCCCTGGTGGCTGTGGCCCCAAGCTGAGTTCGTGTCCCGCCCTGGACTCCGGAGCCGAGGGACTCAGGACACGGTGGGGAGGCGGCGTCCGGTATTCGCTGCCGGAGCAAACTGCAGCTTATCGCCTCTTGCGGCGGGGGGCGGGGCGTTGCTAGGCAGGCGCGGCGG